TGGAGTCTGGCTTACTGCGTTGAGACAGCCGAACAAGTATAAAACTTAATTCCAGCTTGCTGATAATCAGGAATGAAGCAGATGGGGGGGGGGGCATGGGGGGTCATGCCCCCTCTCCTGGCCTGATGCAAGAGGCTTTCACTAGATCCTGGGTAATCACACAAAAATTATGTCCAGTTGCAGGAGTTCCCAGACAATTTTGCATTTTACCCTCCTTTTCTGAGTAAAACTTATAACTGCTTTAAAATTTATGCCGATAGATAGGACTCTCTGGGCCAAATGCAATCGACCTGCTGATTTAGCCACCTCAAAACATTTGGAAATTTATGTGTGCCTCCTGGGTGCTATGAGTAAATGTAACATTGGAAAAATTCTCTATCCACCGGTCCATCCCCTGACTGGACTGGAGTGGGCAGGAAGACACATGTCGGGGTTGGGTTGCATCAAGAAACTGACTGGCCCAAACGAACTGAAAGAGAGGTCTACATCCCAAAGATGTAGAATTAAGAAGATACGCCCTTCGCAGTTGATCGCCTATGTGCCACATCAAGGGTGCGGTTCTAGCAAGAGCCGATGCCGAAGTTTTTTTTTCATCAGCACACAGACTCGTTTTAGAGCCACGTGTACAGTAGGGTATGCAAGCTATCAACCAGGTTACCCACAGGGTCGCCGTGCCCCACCATCCGACGGCCTCTTCGAAAACTTCATAAAAACAGTGTGCTGAAAACAGTTTGGCTTACCACGTCACGATGAACAATCTAAGGCGTGGTTGACTTATATTATTTATCACTAGACTGCACGTCTTGGTGCAGAATGAAATTAAATTAAATTTGGGATTTGCAAAAATGTCAGAGTATCGTTGGAAAACGTTCAAAATCGTTGGAATGGAGTGCTCCTGTTCCTAAAAATTTCAGGTGATGAAGAGCCTTAAAGATCGGCGGAGAATGAAGATGTTCCACGTCGGACACAAATAATCTAACTTGAGAGGAGTCTTCGTTGTACCTCACAGTGGCGCGTGCCTAATGCAACCAAAAGCCAGAGGCGTTTCCACAAAAAATTGGCAACCTAATTTCGATATTTTGCATATTTACCGTTTAGATGCTTCAGTATAGCTTTCCGTTTCAGCGCAAAGTTGAACACCTGGTGAAAATGAGATACTGGATCACGTTTTCATAGCTGATGTAAAATTGCAATCTGAATCCCACCAATCCGCTTCCCCAAAGCTTCTTTCCTCTAGGTCCAGATGGCATTCTGATCACCGAGAAAAGCTGGCGAATAGTCTTAGCTGAGTGTAGGAATATCGTGCCGATTGGCATGCTCCGCAAATGCTCCCTTCCTTCAGAGTCAAGGAAATGAGAGGAACCGTTGGCTGGCGTCTCTAAAGATCCATGTAGCCCTTATAGAATTTGGAGAAAATTGTCTTACGAACATTATGATGTAGGTAATACTAGGGTACCTGCGCATGAAAACAGCAATACATTGTCATGACAATAGATATGTGACGAATGAATCTGAACTTACGGGATTGCTCTCACTTCAAGGAAAAGCAGGGCGGCAATCAGTGAGTACAAAAGGATCGATGAAAATAGAATGTGTGGCTTGTGTAATGCATCGCGAAAAACACTGCACAATTTCGTCGAAAATGATAAGTGCGGACTATATAATAGCAGCCAATATTGCGTGCCAATTACCTAAAATTTATTTCGATGTCGTATGTATCCTTGCATACTTTACGGTACCTGGGTACTTAGCGTTTATAAAATATTCAACCTTGCTTTCTTTTGTCATAAAGGTGTTATTCACATCACGGCTGAACAGTTATCAAAATGCCTTATAGTTAATCGATAAGTGTACAATGTCCCCTTGATTCCCTCGAAAAGCAATATCAATAAGAAGACGTATTCAGTGTGCAACCAAAGGACCACCAACTTCTGCACCTCGAAGGAATTTGCAATGCAATGCCCGGTTATACAATATCGGCCGGGTCACTGATGGCGACCGGGAATGCTGCGCTCGCACTGTGCGTTAAACACCACGTGCTGGACACAGAAAGCCGCTCTCGACTCCTGCACAGCAGTGTCGTGACCCGGCTGCTTCCCTGCCCAGGTGTGTTCGAAAACGCCACAATGCCACCATATTTGTCATCCGCCCACTCTCCAACAAACGAGGTCATCCTCACGGGTTTATTGATTCTACCAGTCCATATAAGCCGCGGTTGTCCACCGCGAGTGCGGCACGTCATCGCTGACGCGCCGCACTCGTCGCCGAGGGGCCGGCGCTGGGAATGACAAGGGGCGTGCTCGCTTCGTGTCAGTCTCCCGCGGGGGAGCGGGCTGGGACCGCTGCCAGTGCCGATTGATGACGGCATGTGGGCTGGGGAGCGGGGTGAGAGTCGCTGACCGATCCGGGGACAGAGCTGGTCAGCAAGCGGTACATGGACTGCTGACCGATCCGGAGACAGAGCTGGTCAGCAGGCGGAGCATGGACTGGGGAGCGGGGTGGGAGTTACTGACCGATCCATGGACAGAGCTGGTCAGCAAGCGGTACATGGACTGGGGAGCGGGGTGATAGCTGCTGACCGATCCGGGGACAGAGCTGGTCAGCAGGCGGTACATGGACTGGGGAACAGGGTGAGAGCTGCTGACCGATCCGGGGACATAGCTGGTCAGCAGGCGGAGCATGGACTGGGAAGCGGGGTGAGGGCTGCTGACCGATCCATGGGCAGAGCTGGTCAGCAGGCGGAGCATGGACTGGGGAGCGGGAGGGGAGTTGCTATGAGATGCGGCTGAAAGAGCCGCTGACAGAGCTGGCTGACACTTGGTCAGTGGGAGTCATTCGTACTGCCCTGGGAAGCCTGCGCAGCTCAGTACGGCTGCGCCCAGTCCCCGTGTGCAGATGCAGGGCGTATGCATCAACAGATTGCCTCGGGCGCTAAGAGCGTCTGCAATCTGTGTGTCATCATGGGGGGGCGGTCGGTTATTGACGAGTGGTAATTAAGATAGCGAAGAAATTGTGTGTTTGTTGTGGTATATTGATGGAGTTCTGGTTAAGATCGGGCGTTTCCTTCGCTGGCTGCCATGGAAGCAGCTCGTCATGTGTTCAGTGGTGTGAATCGTCACGATACGCAGAATTAGACGGACACATAAATAACTATCCACGTCAAGAAAGCAAACATTGAGCCCATTTCCACGCGGACAGCGATGCCAAACCTGACGAGAAGCGCAGCCGGACTCGGCGATGGCTGACGAGGCATGGCGCCAGAACTCTAAAATGCTGGACTGATTTATTACAGATTAAATGCTGGCGTACGTCAAATCACATAATTTGACAATATCTTCGTCGCACCACTGACTTGCCAAGGCCTATCACGTTAGCAGGGTTCCGATATGACTTAGTATGCCTGGCCTGTGGAGGCCCATGGATGGGCGATCCGGTATGCCTCAGCATGCCTGTGTGAGACCATGGGATGGGCGATTGGTTCCTCTTGAGGCTAAAATAAGCTATTGGATGTCACCAGTGGCTCTGATCTGAACCGTTTTACTATGTTGAATTATATCATAATACATTTACGACATTTCGCATCCTCTATATCGTGCAATGGCATAAAATTGGAAGCTCTGGAATCATGCTAACTTTTCATAAATAACACAAACCCGACGTAAGTAAGCATGAAGTCAGGGGGGGGGGGGGGTTACTGCGAATAAAGCATAGACATATCACCTTATAATATATCAAAATAATCAATGAGTGAGCTGACATAGTTCATTAAAACAAAAACTCGCATGATTTCGACTGTTCCCTTGCCAAATTGTTTGAACATCAAACATCATTCTTCCAAAGCATTTTGAACGTAACATCATTCATTCTGGGCTGAAAAGGATGATCCCGTTTTGTATTATTACCGTAAGATACACAACCGGGCAACATTTATGTGCAAAGTGATCTCAGTTTATCGTTTTTTTTTGCAAACAGAACAATGCGATGTCCCCGACTTGCGCACATTAGTTTAGAATACCAAAGCTCCACAAGCTACCTTTGAAGAAACCATGAACCGAAGAAGAGCCCCGAAGCCAACAGCTTGAGGTTCTAATTAGCAGCTAGTTCTCAGTTTCTGATCAGTCGACTGATCAAGTTGCAAGAACGTACTTGAAGAACATTGACACTAACCGTGCCGCACGGCATACAAACTTTAAGAATCTACAAGCCCTAGAAGATCTGAATTTCTGAAATGTGTGTGTCTAGTGTCTAGGTGTTTCCCGTTATGGCAGCTGATCGGTGTTTGCCGCCGTCGCAGCTGCCCCGCAGTTGTTATCAACATTTCAGCTGCTCCGGAGCCCTGCCATCATTTTCCAGTTGTCCCGACATCTTGCCGTAGTGCGGCGTTCCCCGCGGTCTGAACAGTCTGCCATCTCATTGTTCGATGTCGGCTTGGTGATCCCTTCATTCACCGCTTCTACCCTGTCGCCGAGCTCGTCTCACCCGCCTCACCTGTCCCGCCAACACTCCGGTTAATTTGCAGGCCGCTGATCGCCGCCGCCGCCTCAGCTATCGCGTCCACCCACCGTTTTGGCATGAGTCTCAGGATCATCCCAACTGCTCAGCGCTCTCAACGCTGCGCCGTATTACATCTAAGGTCCCGTCTGCTCGGCTGATACAGATCCATACACAGATACAGATATTTGTCTGAGTCTGTATCTGTATCTGTTTTTGGTTAACGGCCCCGTTGCGCAGCGTCCAATCCTGCGCCCAACCCCAGCCCACTGTACTTTTTTCATCGCAGCTCACCCACTTCTCTCCGGCCATCCCCATCGCCCCTGTCCGCCCTGCCCCGCCGCCCTCTGCTCTGACCGGCTCAGTGTCAGCTGGTGCGCCGGGGACGGCGCGGCGCACGTCCGCTGGGCCCTGCAGTCGCGCCGCTGGCGGGCCATGGACAGGCGGCGGACGACGCTCGTGCTGCTGGCCGGCCTCGCCTTGTTGGCCGCCGCCGCCGCCGACGCCACCGCCGCCGTTGACGCCTCCGCCGCTGACGCGTTCGGTGAGTGAGCCGGTCACAGTACCGGACGAGGCGGCCGGTCCGGTCGGACATGGCCCCTGCAGACGTCAGCGTCGGACGGTAGCCGGACACGGACGGTAGCCGTCATAAGCCTCTCTTGAGCTGTGGTATATCGGGTGGGGCGCAGGGGCCTGCCGCCCGCCCAGTTACTGGAATCGCGCACGCTATCGCACCGCTGTCTCGCAGGGAAGGCGATTGGGCATTGCAGCATCACTCAAGTGTCGCCCGCACCACCAGCTGTGAGTGCTGACTCTGCTCGCGCTGTTAGGGTCAGCGGACAATAACGGGTTTGGTGTTTAGTGCGCGATGTGGTCGTGTCGAGCTGTTGACCTTGGATTCTGACCGGTGGTGACGGATGCAGCGATGACACGAGCCGGGGCTTCACCGTCGGCAGCAAGAACGCCTTGCAGCTCCGGCGAAGTCACAACAGGTTCATCGCGTGTGTTGTTTGCTGCATGTGGCGGGGGGACCAGGTGAGGTGGCTCGACTCGCGGCATCGCACAGTGCAATGCAGCGCAGTACGGTGCGATATGGGAATATAGCTGGAGCGGGATTTCTGGCTGACAACTGACAAAGACATCTGCAGATGGGGCGCCACAATACTCTAGTTGACCCCTGCGTTTTCATATGACCTGAATTACGTGTCCCTACGAGAAACGCGATATGCGACATCGGCTGTACTGACCTTACATATACATACGTAAGGTCAGTACAGAAGGCAAATAAGCTATTTTACGAACAGACTCGTAAAATAGCTGTTTTTTTCCTTCTGAAACACGGTTCCCCGCGGCTCAGATCGCTGCGCCCTTTCTAACAGCCTAGTAACAGCCTAGTAAATAACGCACACGGTCGCGTGTCTTTATCCGATCTACAGTCAGCTATAGCTGTGGGCGTTGAGTTCGGTGCAGTCAAGTAACATATAGGTGTTTCATGTCCCATACTGTATTCCATGTCACATGCTCCATATAACCACGTTCGTACATCCAATCACTACATGTAGCCACTCAATATGTGCTTGATCTGAATTGACTTTCAAATTGCTGATTCTTACCGGGCTCTGTAAGTGCAAGCTCTGTTGGGTAAACGCCGCTGGCATCAGTTATTGCAACATTTAATGATAGCATGGAATGGTGCAATCAGCTGAATGTTCACGCAACCCCTTGTTTCCAGAACCACAAATTCCTACACACTCGCTAAGATCTTAATGCTTCGAAAGCTTAATTGCCGTCGCAGCATGTGGGAGCATTTTTGTAGCGCGTTTCGAATGCTCGGTTATTTATTGGCGAATAAAACTATGAAGGCCACATGCTATTGAGAACTACGCCCAGTGAAAGTTTTATGAGCAAGTATCAAGCCCAAAGACCTTGATCCAGAGGCCAGCACTTTGCCAGTACGATGTATCATTCAACGACATTTTTATCTATGTTATATACATCTATAAGCATATGTAAACACATGTGCACCCACCCGCCCACACACTCACACACACACACACACACACACACACACACACACACACACACACACACACACACACACACACACACACACACACACCACACACACACACACACACACACACACACACACACACACACACACACACACACACACACACACACACACACACACACACACACACACACACACACACACACACACACACACACACACACACACACACACACACACACATATATATATATATATATATATATATATATATATATATATATATATATGGAGTTTTATTATGGAAGCTTCGTTTAGTTCACGGTTTCTCCAAAGGTAGCTGGCCGAGTCTTGACGTTCTAAACTAATGTGGTGATTTTCTGTATTGCTCTGGCGAAAGCAGTTTGCGAAAAAAGTTTAAAAGAAATGCATGCATCAGCATCAGCACTGTCGGCAAAGGCATAATGCATCAGCAAGCTAAATATGTTCCGTTAATAACTAATACGCATAGTGAAGCTAAGACCTAAATATATAGCTCCTACAGCAACGCGGCTTTACAAACACTGACCTTCTCTTGGAGAACCAACCCGACTTTATATGATGGTTGCCGATAATCGATACGCTGCGAAGACTTGGAGCGCCCGACGCTGTCATCCATGCGACTCGTGAAGGACGACAGGTACGTTCAGCCGGTCAGCATGCATTCGTCATAGAGACATTCTTCTGAAAATGCGGAAGAATGTCTAAATGACTGGTTTTAGTATTGGAAGTGTTGGTTTCAAAGTCACGACCACAGTGCCGGGCGTAATGAGCAGATCGCGGTTGGTCACCTCACACCCAACACCGGCTGGGGGACTCATGACGTGCCGCCATGCGTGCTCCACCAATATTCAAATTCAATTTACGACCGGTTTAGAACAGGTCCCATTGACTTCTGTGTATTGCCTGAACGGCAATTAGTAACCTTTAACTGCATATCGGTTTAAAAAGTGATGTGGCCGTCTTTTTCAGAAGACGAGATCGAAGGCTAAACTAAGTCACTGCAGGTCAGTTTACAGGTCAGGTTACCTTCAGCTTTTCTAGGCACTTTTCACGAACGTCATGTTCTAAAACTATCCTCGCAGGAGCAAGATGAAAAATATAGTTGTTGAAGTCATCGCCTTTTTTAATCTGCTTTTTGCTCCGTATCGGGATGATGTACAGCTCTAAGGCTGTCGGATTCGTATTTTGGATGTAAATTTACCCAGAAGTATATTACCCAAGCGACTATTTTCCCTATAGACATAAGGCAAATCATATGTAAAATTTGTTCTCAAATTTTAAGAGGGTGCCGTGCTAAAATGCATATATCCGCAATACATTTGATCCCTATCTCAAGTGTCATAGACAAAAAGTCGTCGTATCAACTGTGGTTTTCACACTTCAGATACTTTTCGAGGGTCTTGGATCCTGGGCTCAGAACTGTGGCACCAGTTGATGAAAATTTTTTTGCCGAAAGCCTATTCAGAACTTCGTTGTGACATAATTTTGATGGTGACTTCTAAAAGTCAAGCCCCAATCTTCTGTCAATGCACGACAAATATCGAATCACCTTGGGGGTGTTTTTTTCGGTCGCGGTCTCGTTTTCGGTTATCTTGCATGCATAAATTGATCGCTAAATCAGTACGCATCGAGGGTTCATACTTTTGCCATCCAGATCATCATGATCATCGTGTTGGGTTGTAGATACATGATTGACTCATGTTTAGGCTCTCTGGCGAAGATGAGAACACCTCCCAGCAAAAATCAGCACTATTAATATCTTAACTTGAAGAAACGCCGCAAATTAAGCCAACTTTAGTGATGAACTGACCCAAGCAAGTCGTAACTTATTGTTAGCATCAACAATAATGACGTCAATAGTCGCATGATCTTCATTTTTAGCTTCCGAGAGAAAACGGCATTTTCCCATCCCGGCCGTTTGGCTGGGCAATGCGGCGAAACAAGCTGAAGTTATTAGGAGTTAGCCGACTAAATATGTGTATAACGGTCTGAGTATGCAGTTCGGGTATGCTACAGTCCACCAGCCCTGCACCCTGAGTGTTACAGTTCGACGGTTGGAGCCTATCACAGCTTTCCAGCTCCGTGCGTGCTTTTGCTCTCTCACTCTCTCTCTCTCTCTCTCTCTCTCTCTCTCTCTCTCTCTCTCTCTCTCTCTCTCCTCTCTCTCTCTCTCTCTCTCTCTCTCTCTCTCTCTCTCTCTCTCTCTCTCTCTCTCTCTCTCTCTCTCTCTCTCTCTCTCTCTCTCTCTCTCTCTCTCTCTCTCTCTCTCTCTCTCTCTCTCTCTCTCTCTCTCTCTCTCTCTCTCTCTCTCTCTCTCTCTCTCTCTCTCTCTCTCTCTCTCTCTCTCTCTCTCTCTCTCTCCTCTCTCTCTCTCTCTCTCTCTCTCTCTCTCTCTCTCTCTCTCTCTCTCTCTCTCTCTCTCTCTCTCTCTCTCTCTCTCTCTCTCTCTCTCATCTCTCTCTCTCTCTCTCTCTCTCTCTCTCTCTCTCTCTCTCTCTCTCTCTCTCTCTCTCTCTCTCTCTCTCTCTCTCTCTCTCTCTCTCTCTCTCTCTCTCTCTCTCTCTCTCTCTCTCTCTCTCTCTCTCTCTCTCTCTCTCTCTCTCTCTCTCTCTCTACTCTCTCTCTCTCTCTCTCTCTCTCTCTTCTCTCTCTCTCTCTCTCTCTCTCTCTCTCTCTCTCTCTCTCTCTCTCTCTCTCTCTTCTCTCTCTCTGCTCTCTCCGCTGGTGATGAATGTACAGGGCCATTGGAGGACGGTTCTGTGCATATATCGCGGCCCATTTGCATACCACGGCCGTGAGTTTGTACGAGACCGATGACGGTGCATATCGGTCCGGGCCACTCAAGGCTCCGCGCCCCGACTGAACGGCGCGCACCAGGGCTCTAACGTTTGGTGGAGCCATTAGCAAGTCCCTGCAGTTGGACATGCATTATTCGGCATATGAACAGTGTTTAACCATGTTTGGTTATACGCGAACGAAACACCTGAAGGCTGAATGGCTCAGTTTTATGTTGCACATGCTTTGGGTATCATATCAACTGTTGAAACGGGATCCTTGTAAGCTCGTGAGGCATTCCATGTTTAAAGTTTACTCGGCGCCACTTGGGTTATACCGCATATCGCGACTGTCTGGGGATGGCTCGGATCCCTTTTGTATCTTATTGCGCATAAGACACATCAGACAAAAAAAGTAACGATGGTTGTTAGCCATAAAGCTTTGACGGATCAGATGGAACAATTGTCCGGTCTGTGGCTCCCGTATTAAGGCTTACACAATGTTTCGGGCAGCTCATTGTCTGGCCGTCGTCAAATATCATGGAGTACTGAGGACTACATGGTGTTCGGTCTTCAACTATGTTTACTTATATAGCCTGATTTTCCTCCTTGAAATTGAAGGGATTCGAACCGGATTCTTCTGTTTTTGGGTCCAGCGTTCTGGCAATGAATTAGCCGAGAAGGTCATCGGTCGTTTTTAGCAGACTTGTAGTCCCCCGTTGATTATTCCCGGTTAGTGCAATAGTGGAACACAGGAATCATAATCAGGAGACCCCAGTTCTAATCCAAGCAAAGGCAAGGAGAAAATTCGGGTTGTGATGTGCGCATTGCTAAAAGACGAACACAATCTAGTCATTGTCAGAACTCAAGGACACTTGGAGAAATAACTGTCCAAAAAACCAGCGTGCATGCCGACACGCCAGTCAAGGACGGTGTTATGAACAATCCTGACAATTTTTCATTTGTGGTCCTGGTATCTAGCTTTAACAATTATGTAACGCCTAAAGCTACTGTTTGGAAACGCTTTGATTTACATAGGCTATGTTATCTACGAAAGAGGGAAATTTTGGTGCATTTGATATTACACAAACAATGCACTAATAAATGCAGCGAGAAGCCAAGTAATCACGCACGTGAGTTGAGTTATTGGCATTCGCTATATGCTCTGTTCCTGAGATTCATGGTAGAAGTGGCATTGTTTGCATGACGATTAATCTTGTACGTACACAAAGCTACAATGGATGCGTGATAGCATCTTTTAAAGCCAATTAGAAAGCCATGATAGAAGTAACTGAGATCGTGCCACCACTCTGTGTAGCGGGGGGGGGGGGGGATGTTACGAGAGGGCAGCACTAGCGCGTTGCCCAGCAACCAAAGCGACGATTATGTCCTCTCTGAAGCCGTGTCTCGTTTTTTCTGACTGCCCTACAACACTGGTTACATTCATTCGATACCTACCACCTTACAAACTGTGCACGCCAAGTGCGTGTTAATGGGGCGCGATAAATGCTTCGAAGGCTGATTGGAGCATGTACGTTTATGGATGGAACGACGTCGTAGTAAATTACCTCTGATGGTTACCCTGAACAAAAGGTATTTTACAACACATTACTCCCCGCATTGCGTCGGTGGTTTTTCAGTTGATGGCATCATTTTTGATCCACAAACAAAGGCATTGAAGAACAGCGATGGGAAACAGGAGCTTAAACATTCCAGCAGACTTCGGAAAATCCTTGATGCATAATATGACTGCAAGTTTACCTAAATTCAGATGAGCGTAGACTTTCGAATTAATATTTGTTTAGCTGTGCGCTAGCCTAAAAATGGGCGAGCATCTTTCGGTGCTGAAGCGATCAACAAACAGGGAGCCTAGATGAGATTCCGGTTTGGCGCGGCGCGTGATTGGCCCAACGGTCGGATGCCAAGAATGTCTGCCGGTTGCTCGGCATTTCTGGAGAGGCGACCACACACCGCACTGGGCCCAATCGACCGCCACATGCCCTTAGTGATCGCAGTGGCATCACCGCTGGCGAATAAACAAACAGACTGTCCGTGGGGACACGCCGGCCGACAGGAGTCCACCCCTGTCGCGTCTCTCCGGCAGCCAGCACGCCGCCGGCTACTGCACTGGTCTGGGGGCTGGAACTGTGGCTGCATGTGTACGTGTGTATGTGTGTTTAGGTGTGTGGCGTATGTTCGCGTGTTGACAGATAAGCGTGACAGAATGGATGATGTTTTAGCTGACGTGACTGTGTTGACAGATAAGCGTGACGCCGATGACGAGCTGGCTGATCCACCGCAGTGACCGCGACCTGGCTGATGTGTCGACCGTTCCTGATGTGTGTTGGCAAATGAGCCCAACCTGGCTGATGTGTCGCCCGTTCCTGATGTGTGTTGACAAATGAGCCCGACCTGGCTATGTGTCGACCGTTCCTGATGTGTGCTGGCAGTTGAGCCCGACCTGGCTGATGTGTCGACCGTTCCTGTTGTGTGTTGGCAAATGAGCCCGACCTGGCTTATGTGTCGATCGTTCCTGATGTGTGCTGGCAGTTGAGCCCGACCTGGCTGATGTGTCGACCGTTCCTGCTGTGTGTTGGCAAATGAGCCCGACCTGGCTTATGTGTCGACCGTTCCTGATGTGTGCTGGCAGTTGAGCCCGACCTGGCTGATGTGTCGACCGTTCCTGCTGTGTGTTGGCAGATGGGCCCGACCTGGCTGTGATGTGTTGGTTTTTCCTGCTGTGCGTTCGTTGTTACGGCTCTGTGTTGGCTGTTACGCCCCTATGTTGGTACATAATCCTGACCTGGCTGATGTGTTGGCTGTTCCTGCTGTGTGTTGGCAGATGAGCCTAACTTGGCCGATGTACTGGCTGACCCAGCTGCGGACGGCTATGATCGCACCTTCAGCATGTGCCAGGTCGAAGCAAAGGACTTCCAGGCAACAGTCACATCTACCGCCTACAGGGTCCTGAAAGGAGTTTGCAATCCAGGTGAAATGCCCGAGTGTTCTACTTGACCGCAGATGCCCACTAACACTAGCATGATGTAAGAAATTTACTTGAGTGACTTTTGACTTAGATGTTTTGATTTTTATTTAAGCCATCAGTAATGGTTCACTTCAATAAACTTAAATGAACATCATGCAACCTGCTTGTGGGCCTAGTAATACATGTAAGCAGGTTGGCAGCTGAGTGTGTCGTAAATCCCCAGTAACAAACAATATATGTAAGTCCTCAAAGCATCCCTGCTTCCGCAAACTCCAGTCCAGCACACGGATTCTTTTGTTTCGTGCTTTAACATTTAATGTATGTCCTATATAACGTCCTACGCGGAACTGGCTGACTGAAAAAATAGCGGCAGGATGGAACCACCGACATATATCGAGTCATCTAGCTGGTCTTTGGGAACTGTGACCTGAGGAAGAGCCGATATTTTTTAGTCTGTATTTCACATGTCTTCATCTAGGACATGAAGAGGCGGCTCAGAAGTCATGTAATGGTCATTTCCGACGCATTTAAGAGCTTTCGTGCAACGTGAGGAAAACGCAATGCATCGATTTCGATATGTATGTGTGTACATGCACATATATATATATATATATATATATATATATATATATATATATATATGTGTGTGTGTGTGTGTGTGTGTGTGTGTGTGTCGTTTGCTATTCATTTTAACTGGCTGTTATAGAAGGGGGCAATACATTGTCGGAGCAATTACTTGGTTTCATCAAATATTACTGGAGCATGGATAAAATATGGTCGTGTTACAAGGGTATGACAACTATCCAATCCGATGCAAATGGAATTTAGGGCTTGCTACTAGATATCACTGGGTCGTTCAAGGTCAAGCCTACCGTTATAGTCGCAAGCTAAACTTTGCCAGATCGGTTTGCACAAGCAATGCGGGGTCTCAGGCAGACACACCCGGGATTGCTGGGGCAGCACATTCCACGCAATTAGGAGATATCAACATAAATGCTCCTGGGAAATCTGAGAATTACTGCCGCCCAATTTCATAAGCATTTCAGCCATCACAACGAGGTTAAAGCTGACGAAGACGAAAATTACAGTTTCTGAGCAAAACGTTGGTTTTCTATGCAAATGCGCCCGCAGACCTCTTAACTTTGACTGCATCACGAGGAGGGCGAGGCGGGCGGGCTGATCCGAAGCAGCGGGGCGGCTCGACGCACGGGCCCGGTCGCCGCCTGTCACGCACCCGCCGATTCGCGAGGCTCGTGTGGCCCACGCGCCAGTCGCGTGGCGCCCGTATTTGGCGCGAGCGAGGCCACACGCCGGCAGTGACCGACACGCGCGCGGCGTCTGCCGCTGTCGCTTGTAATCGACGCTGGAGCGCGCCACAGACCTCGCCGCCGGTCGCCCGTCGTGGCCGCAGAGAACATCGTCTTTGGTTTAACATCGTAGTGATTCTAACATGCTATCCGTGAGCATGCCTAGCATGCATTGACACGTGTCTGCAGCCTCATGGCGTGAACATTCTGGTTTTACCACTGCAAACCTGACGTTTGGTAGCCTGCTATGCCCGCGCGAAGCATTTGCTTTTGCAAGTAGCAGAACCGTGCTACTTCCGACTCGTATTGTGCGATCTGTTATTGCTCATTCACCTACAACTTATATTTTTGGTATATACCTAGGCGAACCTGGGAACCATAGTCAGTAACATCTGGCACATGGTTGGGGGTGTTAGAAAAGTCTATGATTTTAATGTTACTGCACCAAATCCTCCCAAACTGCTACACGAATTTATGGGTTTTGCAAATGGCATTCGCCTTTAGACAAACCATTTTCTCTCGTAGCTTTCTGTAATGCAGCCCTCGTTGCTTTCAGCCGAACTCGAGTCGCATTTGCGTTTGATGGAGGAAAGATTGTACCAGAAACTTGAGGAGATGAAAGAAACCATGATGATCATCATGCGTCAAACCAACAGTGACTTCCAACGGTGCAACGACGTCCCTTCTGGCGGCCAGGTACCGCACCCCGACTCTAAGAATGGAGCAGCGTGGACTGCTGCATCAGAGACAAGAAAACAGCATGCTGCAGCACGTGGCTACAGTGCCAGCCCGGATCCAAAACATGACAAGTTCGGGGCACCTCAAAATGACTTCGCCGTGTCACCACTGCCTGAGGGCTCCGACCGGCGGCGTCTGGCTGCTCAAAGTCTTCTGTCGAGGCACCCGCCCATCATGACTGCCGACTCCTTCCGGGAGCGGTCCAGCTCCCTCGGCGAGCGGCGCGGCTCCGGCTCCGGCTCCGACTCCGGCTCCCGCCCCGGCTCCGGCCCCGGCTCCAGCTCCGGTCCGGCGGGTGGTGGGTACACCGCGGCGGCTGTACAGCCCCGGTGGACGCGCGGCGACTCTGCGCACAGCCAGCCGTCGACGACGGGTGCGGCCACCTCCAGGGCAGGCGGCGCAGGTCGGCAGGCTAGCTCCAGTCAGCACACTGAGAGAGGCGGCCACCACCTCAGCACCTCGCACCGGCCAGTTTCCCCACCGCAGGTCAGCTGATGGAAGCACTGGCTTTAGTGGGGCTCTCTTGCCTTTCGCCAGTCAGCTTTGCGCGATGAATTCCCCAGATGTATCTTTATGCATCGATCAGTTCAAATTCATTCTTGATCAGCTTTCTCTACGCCTTAACCTGCTTGATGGGAGGCTCACATATTACTCTGTCTCCCCATGGCCAAAGGCTGGGGTTCTGAGCACATTGCGTGCCTCTCAGCATTAATTCATGCTATTCAGTCACACGTTCACGGACACTGCCACCCGTGCATTCCAGAGTTCGGGGCGGAAATGGCCACCAACCTCGCTGCAGTCACTGTCACCAAAACCCAGCCGTGCGGGACATCAGGCCAAGACCAGAGACGGGCACCAAGGCAGAGGGCAGCAGCGTACCGGAGCGGGCCACGCGGGCAGAGGGCAGCACCATGCGGAACATCAGGCCAAGACCAGAGACGGGCACCAAGGCAGAGGGCAGCACCGTACCGGGGCGGGCCACTCGAGCAGAGGGCAGCACCATGCTGGAGTAAGGCAGCCGGGCAGAGGGCGGCACGTGACAGACACCATTAGTTTTGTGCCCTCCGCCCAGGGTGCGCCGGCGTCGCGGTACTCGGAGCTCGGCGCCTACAACGACACCGTGTATTACATGAACGGGAAGAGGATGTACTCGTATTATTGGAAAATCGAGGTACGTGACCACGAGCATCCGTGTGTTAATGACCGACACGAGGGACTCGATTTGGGTCCGTCACGCTTGTATAGAACGTGATGGTATGTCTTCACTGAAACCCTAAGAGTTGAAGTATACAAAATACCACAGACAACGTCCTGACAATCAAGGTTCTGTCACAGATAAGCGCTTTTTGTATGTGCCGGTTGTGAAAAAATCCCATGATTATAACGTGTCATGATACGGCTAAAATGCGTTAACAGAATAGGGAATTACTAAATGGAATACGTTGACGAATTCGTGGGATGAGCAATAACGAACTGTGACGAGCTTACCAGCGCAGGTCCATAAGCTTTGATGTTCTTGGAGCACTTTCCTTTTCACTATGTCTGGCTCAGCCTTTATTAGGACCAATCAAATGAAATGGGTGAGGTCAGCCACCACTGATGGCGGGAGACGGTAGCAAGATACACCTCAGGGCAGTCCCAGCTAATCATGAATGTGGTCGCTCTCAGGACTTCGGTTTAAAAATGGCCACCTGGAAATCTGACCACGCTCTGAGAAGCGCAAGCTTCTACGTTTACCACGGCGGCTACCGCATGTTCCTACGCCTGTACCCCCGCCATCAGGGAGCCAGCGTTCTGGTGCGTGCTGGTCTCACATCAGGCAGGTAAGAATGACGCTGGTCCGTGCTGGTCCGATGCCAGGGGGTGCTGGTCCGACATTACACATTCCATAGTGACGATGTGGTGACGTTTCGTGCTGATACCGGGCTGGTGTCAGGCATGTGAAAGAAGTCCCTGTCCCCTTGCTAGTATTTTTCAACCCTTTTGACGCTGACGACGTCAATCAACCCTCTCTTGTCTGGATAGGCATTACGATCAAGTTCCGTTTTATGGCATAACAGCTATGCGATTACCCGACATCATCGGTTTGTTTCACGCTAACGGAGATAAACGCGTGACGATGCATGCATTTCAAGTCATGGTATAAGTGTATGTGTGAATTAGCATGTTTAGATGCCATTGCATCAATGAATCATTTTAGTTCGGAAGAAGCGCAGTAGGTCGCTGTGCCACCTACATTACGAAGCACACTCAGTTATACTCCTCTCGCTCTGACTGTCTCCCGGTAAAGATGTTCCCCGGCAGGCACAAGCAACCGTGGCGTAGCCCAAGGGCAGCTTTGGGGGCCATGCCCTCGACCCCTCTCCTGAAGGCAGTGGCCCCCCTGGAGCCGAGTACTTCTTGGTATTGCTAGACGCCTGTGAGAGCTCCTCCCCAAAACGACTCCCGCGACATCAAAATAGGATTTCGAGCCTGAAAATGGTCTTCCGAATAAAAGATTGGCTCTCTGTAGTCATGACGAAGTGCCCCTTGACTTTTTGACCCGATTTAACCACTCCTGGGCGTTATGTGCCCACCGTTGTCGTGCAGGTATAACCCATATCCACTGTTGCCGTGCTGGTACGACCCATGTCTAATGCTGCCGTGCTGGTACAGCCCGGTCCACTGTTGCCGTGCTGGTAGACCCATTGTCCACCGTTGTCGTGCAGGAACGACGAGTCGCTGGCGTGGCCGTTCCGGCTGCCGTTCCGCGTGTCGCTGCTGGACCACTCGGCGCCGCCGGCGGACCTGCAGTCGCGCGTCTGGAGCCCGGCCCGCGAGCCGTGCCCGCGTCGCTCCTGGCAGCGGCCCGGCCATGGGCAGCGCCACGGGCGGCACCAGGAGCGGCACCAGGAGCGTCGCGGCCAGGGGCGGCGCCAGGCGCGCCACGGCCGGCGCGCGGCTCATGACGCGCTCCAGTGTCTGGGCCTGAGCGTGCCGCACCGGCTGCTGGCCCGCCGGCGCGCGCTGCTCGAGGACGCGCTGCTCGTCAAGCTGGACGTCTTCCTGGACGAGGAGGGCGATTCGCGTGCTCGGAACGGCTGGAGCCGCTAGATCGGGGAGTAGCAAGATGTACCTGTTTGTGTCGTGGTAATTGCGCATGTGCAGAGAATGGTAGAGCTGTCCTGCGCAGACAATGAGAAAGGCATGCCACCAAGCGGACAAGCGAGTCTGTTTAACACCAGAGCTCACGCCGCTCCACGCGACACCTTGATGGGACATTTGCGCATGGTCATGCAATGCTGCCTACGCATTTTGTGTGCATTAAGGATTGACAGACCCCAGGTACGTCCTGGAAATGGTGCATTCATATGTCAGACAGGACACGGGCTTCTAGCATTTCCTGGAATGTACCTAATCGGGGACAGATAGGTCCAAATGAATGTACGAAAAATGTATAGCTACAGCAGGAACATAAACGCTAAGTGACACCGCTCCTTACAATGAGCAAAGGGCCCATTGCTGGTCATCTGTTGTAGACGGTCCAGTGTTACCGGCTTACCTTTTCTATTTCGGATGACCTACATCGCCATCGAAAAGGTCTCCTGAATATAGATTCGTAAGTTACTCCTAAGCTGGACCCGGACCAAGCCACCGACTTCACACCTACACCAAGCAATAGCCGTGCCAAATTAGGGTAGCACCGGTCGCACTCGCAGGTCCCCGTTCGCCATGGTTCTCGCTAGTGTGCTACTTTACCAGATACACGAACTCCAGTTTAATAGTAAGCGGTCTCAGTCGGTAACTCTCTCAGTAGCACGCCGTGTTTCTGGAGCTATATTTTGCTTTCTCGGATCCTTTCACGGGTTGCATCCGCGATGACTGCTCAGCCAGCGCCCGCCGCCACTGCCGGACCCTGCCAAAGCCGCCCGGAGCGGGAACACTGCAGGGCCTGGAAGGCCCACCACGGTAAACTTCCGCAGAATCTTCTTGAAACTTCCGCCTGCTTTCGAGGCTTCGTAAAAAACACGCGCGTTCAGAGAGCGGTCGGGGACGGCTGATGTACTCCGGCAGCTCGTAATGACGTAAGTAAGGGAACTCAATCTCACAGGACGCCAGTCTCACCATTCTCAGTATTCTCGCAGTCCTTGCCAAATGTAAACAGTCCACACTGCATGACGGACATCATCTCAGGCCCAGGCCGACGTTCCGGATGGGGCTGACGGGCGGCTGGCTGACTGGTGACGGAGGCGATCTCCCGAGCCGAGCGCACGGGGCCGCACTGCCGTACGAACCCGACGATCTCCCGACCCGAGCGCACGGGGCCGCACTGCCGTACGAACCCGACGATCTCCCGACCCGAGTACACGGGGCCGCACTGCCGTACGAACCCGACGATCTCCCGGCCCGAGTGCACGGGGCCGTACTGCCGTACGAACCCGACGGTCTCCCCAGCCGAGCGCACGGGGCCGCACTGCCGTACGAACCCGACGGTCTCCCCAGCCGAGCGCACGGGGTCGCACTGCCGCACAAACCGACGCAAGCGCGGGGTTGATCACTTGGTAGAAAGGACTCGCAGACTAATGTCCAGCGTTAGGTGTGGAAAAACGTGAGCGTGACAGCGATCTCCTCCAATTTGACGTCAATCTCTCAGACGTCGTTCACAACGACCACGTGTCGAGGGACCTGGCAGACCGTAGGCTGAGCCCAAAATCGTCCCTGAAAACTGACTTTGCAGGTCGCTGTTCAGTGTCCGAAGCCACCCTTGTTCTCAAGGTGTACAGGAATGGTGGACCGGGCACGGGGGCACACTACTCCCTGAGGCGGGAAATGGTCTGGAAAGGGCTGCGTTCCGTGCTCCCCCGTCCGCACGCACTCTAGTACAGTCTTCACCTAACTGGCTGATGCTGCCAGTCCTCAGTCGAACGTGGTCGTCCACCACCAGTCCCCCGCCAGACGTGGCTCGTCCACCGTCGGTCCTCCGCCAGACGTGGCTCGTCCACCGCCGGTCCTCCGCCAGACGTGTCCCGTCCACCGTCGGTCCTCCGCCAGACGTGGCCCGTCCACCGCCGGTCCTCCGCCAGACGTGTCCCGTCCACCGCCGGTCCTCCGCCAGACGTGGCTCGTCCACCGCCGGTCCTCCGCCAGACGTGTCCCGTCCACCGTCGGTCCTCCGCCAGACGTGGCTCGTCCACCGCCGGTCCTCCGCCAGAGGTGTCCCGTCCACCGTCGGTCCTCCGCCAGACGTGTCCCGTCCACCGCCGGTCCTCCGCCAGACGTGTCCCGTCCACTGTCGGTCCTCTGCCAGACGTGTCCCGTCGCCGGCCGATCCTCGGCCAGCCAGACCATCCCCCCTGCCCCCGGCGGAGAAGGATCGCCGTGCCGATGCCGGCCGAGGCGAGCGGCGCTCAGTCTTAATAAGCGGCGCTGCGCCTGGCAAGCGGCCGCCATCAGCGCAGGTCGTTAGCGGCCGCCACCGACGCCCGCTGCCAGCACACAATGAATGGACTCGCAAACGCCAATGATGGCCGGTCATGGCGGCCGGAGCGCGGAACAATGCCGCCGGCCGTGTCCAGCCCCGGAGCGAGTCGTTAGTGACCGCGCGCCGGCGCCGGCCAGGAGTCAGGCCGGCGCCGCCCGCCGCCCAGATGGATGGCGTCATTGTGCCGTATTGCTGCTGTCCAGGGCATCGCGCCGACCTGAGCGACGGAAGCAATCGCGCCGGCGGCATGGCTGGCGATGGCGGGACCGGGCGGGGCAGTGCAGTCGTGCTGTCTGTACTGCCCGCACGTGGCAGCGTTCAGTTCCATGGACATTGCACGCTATATTTCTTGGCAGGCTTTTCGTCATTTTTATCGCATGAAGTCCGTAGGACCACCGCTCTTTGTGGTACTTATAAATGGCCCGTACAGCAGTGCGAGTCTGTCACTCTTTTGCGAGCCCGTCGCCTTCGTCCTTCGTCGATTGTTTAAGTAATTTTCCAAACAGCCTCCGAGACGAGACGGCCTCGAAGACCATGTTTAGAGCATCAAAGCTCTGATGAGTGCTCGGCCTTTATCCTCAGACAAACGGGAGGCGCTTAGCCGCACATATGGCTTCTCTACTTCTCCAGCGAATGCTGCATCCTCTCCGAAAAGCAGCGTCTCCACTTCTCCATCAAGCGTCGGTGCGCTCCGCCCTGCTCGCGTCTCGCCGTATGTTCCCGCACGGCCCGGCCCGGCTCCCCACTCTATCATTGTAATCACGCCGCTGCATCTGCGCCGCCGTTATGGAAATCGGGATTAGCGACGGCACAAATTGAAATCATTGATTGGATGACGTCGGCGGCGCGCAGGCTCGCCGCGTCGCCGCCGACGATAACGCGTCGTGATCGACGTGTCGCCGGCCGCCGCACCAATTATACAGAGTAGGTAGTTATTAGTTTGATAGCTGGAGCATTTGAACAGCTATTCAATCGCTATCGCGACTTCAATAACGTCGTGTTTGATGATGCAGCATGTGGCGGTTGACGGGCGCGTCATGGCCGACGAGTTCAGAGACAACTGGGCCCTGGCATTAGCGTCACTACGGTCGGTCGAGTGATCTTTAGCGATCGGCTGTGATGACACTGAACGGGCAGCCTGTCGGTTTGTCGTGATCTTCATCTACAAACAACCCACCTACCACTCCCTGATTTATCCGGAGAAGCGCGCTAGTTATACCGCAGGTGTTATTGATAGATGTGCAAGTTTTAGTTATGTAGAATGTCTTCGATCGAAGGGGCTGTCGCTGTTCGATTCATGGGAGAAATATGGAAGGAACTTATTCTTGCCAGGTTGGAAAACTGCTGTTTCTTTCCCTTAGAATACGGATTCTCCGCCAGGTATTATTCATGCCGCTGAAGTATTTCTCTTGGCGCTTTAAGTATTTCATCGTGGTGAATTTCTCGGCGGCAAACATTCCTTACAACAGAATGCGTCACAGCGGCCCGCGAGGCGTCGTGTTGTCCCAGGTCTGAACCTGGCCAAAAGCAATGTTCTTTGTAGTTAATCATGTCCAGAAAAACATCTGTAGCCAGATCGACTCAGCAAGCGGCTTGGGTTTAACGAAAAGCGTCTGAAGATAACGCTAGCCGTAGCGCTCGCGCCACAGCGCCAGTGGCTGAATGCATCCAGCCAGCTGCGCAAATTGATTTAAAATGCACGTCCTGCATTCGCGGGTGTCACGCTGCGCAGTTACCTGGTCATCGTGAAGCAGCAGATGAAACCACGTGTATTGGGCTATGAACCATCGTCCGTGAGTTTGTGAGACACGCTGCTTGAACTCCAATAGGGAGATGTCGACACGCAGGAATTATGTCGTTGAAAAATGGCTGCCCCGTGAGCAGTCATAGTGGCTGTGACGGCCACCATCCGTCGAAACTTTGGCCCGAAACGGCACGGCGAGCCGGAAGAGCAAGAGTTATGCTCGCCAATAACATTTCCCTGGCACCAACTCATTTGAATAATAGGGATATCTATATGCTTCAAATAGTCCAAGGAACGGGAATGACATATGCTGCGAATGGTCGTGTAGCACGGCCGCTTGCTGCTTAATGTGCGCTGTCCTGGCTCGAAGACGATCGCCTGGGGCGCCATATTGTTACATATATCTTGTTTAATAGCGGATCTTTGTGCTCCAGAACGCTCTGGGCCGATGTCGCTGCTCGCAATGGATGGCCTCGCCTGTTTCCATTTGAATCCCGCCACGAAGTTTAGTAATTAGAATTGGAAAACACTGCAATTCATTCTAAAAATTCTAATAAAACCCATCAAATTATCATGGACCAGAGTCATTCATCTAAAAAATTATTAAAAAGACAAGTTTTGAACGATGTGTCGCCGGAGCAAATTACACGGGGCTAATCCAGCAGCTCAACACCACGACCATATATCTGGGCGAATGGCCAAAATTTCCATACTCTGCATAAAATATGGTGGCGTTGATGAAAAATAAGTGCGCCAAAGCGGGCCAAGTGTGAGCAAGAGGCCTCCTTTGCCTACATATGTCGATATCTTGGTGACAAGAATTTCGGTACAAGAAAAATGAGGGCGAGCAAACGCAGGCTGG